CCCCCAACAGTGATACAAGAACATAAAATCCACTAAGTACATCGACTTTCCATTTGGTATTTCAAACTCTGATGTGCTTCTGGACCCTGAAGCATCAAAACAACAAGAGTTTAAGTGAGATTGTGTGGAATACTACTATTTCTTTCTGGAAAATCAAGAGGTTCTAAATCCTGCTTCACACCAGATTCAGACAGTATCCATGACCTTTGTGGTCATTTGAATACAGCTGGATCAGGGCAAATCTGAAGAAATGAATCCCAGTAAAAGGACAATCATTATGTTGCAATCATAGTATTTGCCTTGCTTTCTCAGCCATCCTTCCACAATCCTAACATCATTTTTCAATATCTATGATTGTCAATATTCCCTCAAAATCTTTTTAATTTCTCTATAAATATAGCTTCTTCACCTGCATCAGAAGTTTAATCCTCTCTGTATTGGAAACACCGTTAGAACTTTAATAATTTTATCAGTACCATCAGTGGATGCCAACTACAGGAGTCTGTGTACAAATCACAGAACAGTACCTTCCTGCACAGTATTTGTAATCTTGCATGGCGTTGTGTGTATATCTCGGGAAGAACAATTAGCAGGAATCATATGCACACAATCCTAAATTTATGTAGTATTCAGTGATATCTGTGAGCTGATCAAATCAACCATATGGAACCTTGTGTGACAATTATTGTGTAATGGTATTATAAACTCTGACGCATTGCTTGCAATTTCTTCTGCTTCTCCAGCTCCTTCCCCCTCATTGCTAAATAAAGTGCCAGGATTCCTTTAGATAATGTGTGAGGTACAGTTTGCATTTGAATTGCAGCCTAAATATCTCCCAGGTTTCTGTGGTTAACCCATTTGTGTCTTTTGGTTTCTGTCCTTGCTCTTGAGAAACAGAAAGACAGTTGTCTTTTCTGTCAGTATTTACTACACAAGGTAAAATACATTTCCTTTTGTCTTTGTTGTTATATATTGACGTACCGTATTTTCCACACTATAAGGCGCACCAGATTATAAGGCTCTCCTTCAATGAATGGCCTATTTTAAAACTTTTTTCATATATAAGGTGCACCGCATTATAATGCACATAGAATAGACGCTATAGTAGAGACTGGAATTACGTTCCACTAGATGGAGCTGCACTAAACTGAATGTCAATAAAACAGTCCGACTCCGGTCGGCGAGGAGAGCCTTCCGCGACTGGGCCAGGGCGTGGCCGGATGATGGTCACCCTTCTCCGTTCGCGCACAGCATGTTCGTGGAGAACGTGGTGCTAAATGACCTGCAGACGACCTGATTGTAGACGGTCGGTAGGTAGATAGGTCAGTCAAACTTTATTAACAAACCAGCGTTCCGACAACTATCCCAGCATGCACCGCACGCTTCTTCTACAAGTGAATATGAAGTCGGTGGCTGCTTACCATAGTTGCTAGACCTGTTGTGGCTCAATATTGGTCCATATATAAGGCGCACCGGATTATAAGGCGCACAGTCGACTTTTGAGGAAATTGAAGGTTTTTAGGTGCGCCTTATAGTGCGGAAAATACGATATTCAAAATACATTGAGCTTAATGACGCTAGACACACTTTGGAATATAATTGCACATTGACATACTTTTAAGGCTTAAAACCAATGGAAAAAAGCAGTTTAACATTAGAATATTACATCAGATCAATAAATTTTTTTTATTGTCCATTCTGATTGGTTTAATAT